CGAGCTCAGCCGCTCTTTCCGGGAGTCGGTTTATTTTTCCTTCCCCAAGGTCCTTGTTTTGGAGCCCACCTGCGCCTCCACGCCTCGGGGCAGTGGGTGTGGCGGAAGGCGGGCTGAGGGAGCAGTCAGGACCCTGGGAGCCAGGCCTCCCTCCGCAGCTTTGTCACGCATCTCTCCTGCAGGTGCAAGTCTGTCACTCCCGTGACGGTCCTGAAGGAGCTCGTCCTGGTCCTCCATGGGAACAGGAGGCTGACCCACCTGAACGTGAGCTCCAACGAGCTGGGCCTCGCAGTGTCCACGAGCATTTTCAGAACCCTGAGGCACTCGGCCTGCAACCTCAAGTACCTGTGGTGAGTCTCCTGGGAGCTGTCGGGGCCTCCGGCCGCCCTGCCCCACGCCCCACGCCCACGGCCCACGCCCACGCCCACTGGGAAGGCTCACAGGCCTCGGCTGTAGCAGAGCGACAGGAAGCGGGCCCACCCGAGGGAGGAGGGAGGCGCCGGTGAAGAAAGGGCGGTCCTCGCGGTCCAGCGGGAACAGTGTCGCCTGGAGCCGACCGACTGCAGGAGCCCGCAGTGACCCAGCACGTGCACGGTGGGCCCCGCAGCCAGCCTGTCCGGCAGGGCGCCTGGGGAGGCGGACACTCCTGGACTAGGGGCCGCACTGAGCAGCTGGACTTAGAAGCTGCCCCACTGAACGCGATGCGGAACGGGGTGGGGTTGGCCGTGGTTCAGGACCCACAGGGAGCTCTAAGCCCGAGCTGCCCCCTGCCCCTGGCCCTTTGCAGGCTGGACTCCTGCGGCCTGAACTCCCTGCTGTGCCAGCGTCTCTTCCTGGAGCTCGCAGAGAACGCCAGTCTGCACTTCCTCAGCCTGGGGGACAATGACCTCTCTGATGTGCGAATTCAAGGGCCCAAGGGGTCCTTTGAGTTCCCAAAGTGTCCCCTGAAGGAGCTGTCGTAAGTCTTGCTGCCTCACAGGGTCTTTGCAAGACTGGGCGCGTGGTGGGTGGAGATGGGAGTGTGTGTGGAGGCCATGGGAGGCCCGTTCGTGTGCTTGTCACAGTCACGTGGGGGACAGCGCTGTCCTTTCCTCTCAGGTCTCTGCCCTGGTGTCGCCTGAGGGCCGCCCCTGCCGGCTGCCTTTGTACAACCCGCTTAGGCCTCTGCCAGTTTCCCCTAAGGCCTGGGGTTTCCGCCCGGGGTGATTCTGTCCTGCAGGGGGACGTTGGGTGACGTCTGGGCACACACTGGGTTGTCACGGGGGAGGGGCGGCACTATGACTCTCCCACAATGCACAGGGGCCCTTCATGCCTGGTGAAGAATGACCAGCCCGTGTCAGCAGGGCTGAGGTGGGGCGCGCCGCCTCCACCCGCCTGTCTCCCCCTTTATCTGGCTTGATCCTTCCGTCTGGGTCCCGGGTGTGGCCCGAGGGGCTGAGGGCTGCAGGGGCGGAGGAGGAAGCGGCACAGCGGTCCCTGGTCCCTGCCCGTCCACAGCCTGGAGAAGTGTGAGCTGGTGGCGGCAAGCTGTCAGGACCTGGCCTCGCTCCTCGTCAGCACCCAGAGAATGACCCGCCTGTGCCTGGGCTTCAATCGGCTGCGCGATGACGGCGTGGAGCTGCTGGGGGCCGCCCTGGCCCAGCCCGAGTGCACTCTGCAGACGCTGGTGTGAGTCGCTGGCTCTGCTTCTGGGAGGGCTCTCCAGGGCGGGGACGAGAAGGCTGGCCCTTTGCTCCCTTCCTGTGTACATCATTGGAAACTAACATTTGTCGAGCAGCTCCTGTGGCTAGAATTGTCCTAAAACACAGATTCGCGATGTTTGCTCTGAAACCTCAGATTTGTTGAGCCAGTCTCTGGGCTTCTTGGTGGCTCATTGCTCACCAAGTCTCTGATAGGCCATAGTCTCCACCTCAGAGTAAAGCGAACGAAGAGGGAGAGTAACTTGCAAGTGGCCTCACAGCTGGTCGTGGTGCCGTGGCCTCTACACGCACCCAGCCGGGTGCAGAGCCTGCGAGTGCCCCCACTTGCCTCGGGGGTCATTGAAAACATTTTCTTCATTTACTCCCAGCCAGCCAGTAATGAGCAGCACACTCTTGGCATGCTCCCTGTGTAACTGGACTGGGAGGGGGTTAGGGTTAGGGCAAGCGAACATCCTCCGTGTCGGGGCCCATGGCACCCAGGTTCAAAAGAAAGGAGACGCGGCCCGGGACTCGGGTGGACTTGGAAGAGGGACTGGAGACTCCTGTCCCCGGGAGCCTTTGTCTGGGCTGCCTTCCTGAGCTCTTTCTCTCTGGCCTTTGTCCGACAGGCTTTGGTTTTGCCAGCTCGGGGCTCCCAGTTGCAGGCACCTGTCAGATGCTCTCCTGCGGAACAGGAGTTTGACGCAGCTGAACCTGAGCAGGAACAGCCTGGGAGATGGCGGAGTGGCGTTGCTGTGCGAGGCCTTGAGTCGCCCAGACTGCAGTGTGCAGAACCTCAAGTGAGTTTTGTCGGCTTTCTTATTAGTGGGGGAGAGCAGTGGGAGCCCACCTACAGGTGCCCGAACTGCCCCTGGGGTTTGAGTGAGTCCTGGGTGTGGACAAGGTCCTTGCAAAGAAGAGCCCTCGGTTTCATTGGGGCAGTGCCTGGGGAGGTGGGATTGCTACTAAGGACCCGTGCAGCGCGTGTTCCGGGGGCCTCGGACTGCCCAGCTTTGGTGATTCGCCAGAGGACTGGCAGGACTTGGCCTACGGCGTATTCGCGGCTATGGTTTACCGTGGACAGAGGGCGTGAGTCAGCAAAGGAGAAGGAACCAGGCACGAGCTCCCAGGAGCCCGTCCTGGGATTCACGGAGGACACACACTGTCCCTCCAGCAGCCAGCCGTGGCCCTGCACGTGCCCTGTGGACTACCAGGACGGCTCACCAGAGACTCGGCGCTCAGGGCTCTCACCGGTGCTGGCCTGGTAGACAGCTCCCGCCTGGGGAGGCACAAACCGAGGCCTGGCCGGGAGGAGAGCAGGTGCTTGGCGTTTGTAAGCCGTATCGCTTGCTGTCTAGGCACAGGGAGCCGTGCTTCCCAGACGGTGGAGGGATGGAGATTTTTCCCCCTTTTTTGGAGAGGTTTTTGCTATAGGGCACGTGCACTCGCCAGCCAGACAGAGACAGAGAGACAGAAAGTGAGAAATCACCACCCGGGGGGATGGCCACACCGCAATCCTTTCTCCTCCATTCTCCTCTCGGGATCTTGGGCACACATGCACATGTGCCTGGCATGAGTTTAAACCACTGAGTCCAGGACTCGAACCACAGTCGACTACATGGGAGTCCAGTGACGTAGCCAAGATGTGGTGATTACAGTGCTGAACTCCCACACGGCTGTGGTTCGAGTCCTGGACCCAGCGGCTTGAAAATCACGCCCAGCACTTGCGTGTGTGCCCACAATCCGAGGAGGAGAAAGAAGGAGAAGGGATTGTGGCATGGCCATCCCTCAGGGGCTGACGTCTCACTTTCCCCCTCCATCTCTCTCAGGCAAGTGCGTATGCCCTATGGCCAAAACGAACAAGCAAACAAAACCCAAAAAACACACGTTGCCCAGTTGCCGTCCATGAGGTTGACCAGCTACTGACCCCGCCAGCCCGTGTGCCCCCTCACTGCACCTCTCCTGTTTTCACCCCTCTGGCCATCCCTTATCCCCCTTTGTTTCCCTTCCCGTACCGCCCTCCATTCCCCCATATCCCATCTCTCCTCTATGCCCCATCCCGTTCTCTCTCCAAATGCTTGCCTGGATTAATCATTTTGATTTATTTTGGTATAACAACGTATTCTTAGAAATTTAGACCCGCCCTTAGGTGAGATGACCGAAGTCATTTCTAATTCGATTGCTGAGCTCCAGGGCTGAGAGTCACGGATCGTAGCTGGGTAGGCTGGCGGTCAGCACCCAGAGGGAGCCGTCACACTCACCCCAGACAGCCTGGCTGGGCAGGGCGGGCGCGGGATAGCTCTGTGTCCTGCTTTCTGCCATCACAGGGAGTCAGGGCCCTCCTAACTGTACCCCCTCATCCTCGGGCCTGGGATTCGAAGTGTGGCCCTGGCACCTCCTCTCTGCTGGGAAGAGAGTGAGGCGGGATAGAGCCTCACGTGCAGGGCCCGGGACGGCTCATCCCTCGTGTGTTGCCTTGCAGCTTGTCAGACTGCGCAATCACAAGGCAGGGCTGCCAGGAGCTTGCGAACGCCCTCAAGCATAACCACAACGTGCAGGTTTTGGATCTCGGGAACAACGACCTTCAGGATGAGGGCGTGAAGCCACTGTGTGAGGCGCTGAGACGCCCAGGGTGCACGCTGACCACGCTCGGGTGAGCTGACGCTGCTCTCCTGTGGGGAATCCCACCACGGGGAGAGAGTAACGCAGGGCCACGTGGGGAGGGGCTGGAGGGTGAGGAGTGGCAAAGGGGGGTGTTCTCCTTTTTCAAATCTCTCCTTCTGTACGATGAGCTGCAAGCGTGGGGACTCTCCTGCTCTCGCTCCTTTCTCTCAGTCGGCACACTTTGGGTGCTGGGGAGGCCGCGTGCGCCCTCTCTGAACCCTCACTTCTGAGGGGCTGACTTGAGCCGTAACGCGATGCGTGCCCAGCACAGGGAGGTAGTTGGGCCTCAAGTCATGGGCTGTTGGCTAAATGCGGCTTACGGGAGAGCCGTTTCTCATGTGGGCTCCGGGGTTGGCCGATTCATCAGCTTGTTTTCAGAAGGGCATTTGTTAGACTCCGTTCGAGGGTATTTAATGACCCTCCCGAAATGATGAGGAACCTCCAGCATTGCTGGCGCTAACCAGCTGCAAACCTCTATTCAAGGACTGTTTTTTTTTGAGTGGTTTTCTCTATAGGGCGCGTGCGCTCGCCAGACCGACAGAGAGAAAATG